AAAAAAAAAAAAAAAAAAACAGCCAGGACTAAATATAGGTGTGCTCCTCCCCTCCTCCTCCCCCAGTACTGGGAATTGGACCAAGGGGCTCACCAAGTCAGGCAAGCAGAGCTACATCTCTAGCCTGTTTGACTTTATTTAGAGACAAGTCCTCACTAAATTGCCAAGGAAGGTCTCATACTTTCAACTGTCTTCCTGCCTTAGCCTCTTGAGTAGCTGGGATTACAATGTGTCACCACACATGATATATATGTATGTACGTAATATGTATGATATATACAGGAACATTTAATTAACCCGCTCTGCTACTGAACATTAGTAGTTCTAATTTATTCATCTTATACTCCCAAAGGATATATTATCGCCCCACTGATCCAAGCTATATATGAGAACAGTCCCATGATTACAAACTGTATAGCCATTCATCAGCACCCTAGACTTATTCCCCAGAGTCCAGGATGCTCACCTTCACACCAATTGCCTTGAAAAGTGCAGGATGTCTCAAAGGCAGCTCTACCATCTCCTTTATCTGAGCTAGCTGCTTCCTACAGCCACCAATGTCATCATAGCCTACTTCATTCAAAGACTCTTCTTCATCCTGAATATGGAAGAGATAAGGAGAAGAGGGTATAGCTGAATTTTAAAAATCATTATCTGATATGAATCTATCGCTTCTCAGGCTTTTGGCTAAGATCAAGTGGAAAATCTGCAATGTGAGTTTGGGAAGGTTCTCCTATAAAGGAATCCTGCCTCAAAGAATCACCATAAAAACCCCAAGGCAAAAAATTGTTGCGTAACACTTTGCTCTGATACAGCCCTTAGCTTTACTGGAAAGGGATCCCTAAAAGCAAAAGCCTGAAACTCTGGAATAGGCAAGAGCCCTGGATGTCACCAGCTACACTTCAAAAATTATTTTAATCACTTGTACCTTTAGGATTTTCCAGCTGTTTCAAAGAGCACCTAGCCTTGATAATTAATACATGACTACTATAACAACAATAAAATAAGGTACTGGGATCAGGGAATAAACTCACCTCTCGCTTGATAGGCTCTCCTTCACAGTGGATCACTGTGTCTGGAGCAACTATACAGTAAGGGCTGGGATCTGTCTCCACTACTTTGAACTCCACAGCACGCATCCCACCCCGGACAAGGAAAATATCTCCTATGAGAGCAAGACAAATAAATTAGAGGGGCCGGGGAGATAGCTCAGTACAAATAAGTGCTTGTCTGGCAAGTACAGGGTCCCAAGTTCAAACTCCAGTCCCGCAAAAAAAATCAGGAGACAACTGTAAAACCAAGTTTAAAAATATATATATATATATTTTAAAGTTCTGAGGATACAGTTCGGTACGAAGGACCTAGGTTCAATCCACAGCGCCAGAAAAAATAACAAGGAAGGGCGTCATTGTCGGCCTTTGGAGCTGAGCTCAGACTTGTGATCCTCCTGCCGCGGCCTCCCAGGCAGCTGGGTGACAGTCACGAGTCACTACGCCCTGCTCCGTAAATGCCTTTCCGCGGCGCTCGGCGGATGGACGCCGGCGCACCCCGGGCAAGCGCACAGCGCAGTCGGGGTTCTGCGGGCTGCTGCTCCCGGGGCGCCGCCCACCCGTGTCACGCATGCGCGAGGCCAGCGCCCGCGGTCAGGCCACTCACCGATGTACTCCTCCACCTGCACGTAGCCGTCCTTGTCTTTGTCCAGGTCCTCCAGGGTTTCCTGGGGAGAGAGTGTCGGTGGGCACGTGGGCAGGGTGCACTGGCCCTGCGGGGGCCTTGGTTTTGGGTCTCACTACGTAATGCAGACTATGCTTAAACTCATGGCAAATCTCCTGCCTCAGCCTTCCAAGTGGTGGGATTATGGGCACGCACCACCACGTCCTGGTGAATAAAACAGCTTCTGGTCTCTTTTTTTTTTTTTGCGAAACTGAGGATTGAGTGCCGGGGAGATGGCTCAGTAAAAAGTAAAGTAAGAGCTTCCCTGGCAAGCGCGAGGGCCTGAGTTCAATCCCTGGTTCCGAAAAAAAAAAAAAAAAAAAAATGAAGACAGGGGCCAGGGAGATGGCTCAGTAGAATAAGTGCTTGCCTGGCAAGTGTAACAGCCTGAGTTCAATCCCTAGTTCCGCAAAAAAAAGAAAAGAAAAAAGATTTGAGACAGGGTGTCGATAAATTCCTAAGTTGCTCAGGTTGCCGAAACTTTTTTTTTGCAGAACCGGGGATTGAACTCAGGTCCTTGCGCTAGCCAGGCCAATGCCTAGTCTACGGAGCCAGCTCCCTGGCCCAGGTTGCTAAAACCGCCCACCCTCCTGCTTCAGCTTCCCAGCGTGCTAAGTTTACAGGTGTGCGCCAGCATGCCTGGCTACATTCGAATGCCTGATGACTATGATAATCCTTTGATGTAAGACTGGTGCTTTCAGTATTTGACACTTCCCCAGCATGAGTTATACTGCATTTCAGATCAACAAGCCAACTTGTAGGGCAAATATGTCCCAAATATTATGGGAGATACACTGGTACTGAGATGAATACCATGGTAAGAGACTACAGAATTCAGTGCTGGAGTCAGGCGTGGTGGTGCACACCTGCAACCCCAGCACTCGGGAGGCTGAGGCAGGAGGATTGCCTGCCATGAGTTTGAGGCCTTCCTGGGCTACCCAGTGAGCTCAAGACTGACGACAGCAGAGCTGCCAAGGAATACTATGCAGCCTGGGAAAGGGCGGGCAACCTCCTCTGTATTGAGTGAGGCGCAAAGTCGGCTGGGAGCTCCTTGCTGCTCAAAGAAGATGATGTGGTGTTGTTGTTTTTTTTCCATTTTCTTAATCATTAGCTGGAGATAAGGACTACTTGCTGTGGATACAAACTTTGGCCCAAAGGACGGCAGCCTCCTCTGAGTGGGGACAAGGGCCAGGCCCGGACAAAGGCCAACTAAAGTGGGGGCTTGGAAAAACTGAGTGGAGAACATCTGGCGAGGGGGTACAGGCAGCCCCTTCCTCTGCACCCTGCCCAGGTCGGCTTCCTGAGGAGGGAAGAGGTGTCCCTGAGGAAATGGAGCCCAAACCCGCACAGGGACAACTGCCACTTGGGCCTGGCCGATGCCACGCGCCATGCTTCTAGGTGTTTCTGTCTCTGAAACGCCAGCACTCTGCCACGACCCCTGCTCACACTGAGTCTCAGCGCTCAGGAGACTAAGACAGGAGGCTCAAGAGTTGGAGCCCAGGGCCGGGGAGACGGCTCAGTGGTCTAAGCACCTGCCTGGCACATTCAAGGACCCGGGTTCAATCCCCAGTACCACATGCCCCCCTGGCACCAAGCAAATTCCTGTGGTGATGCACAATGTGATCCCAGCTGAGGAGTCTGATACAGGAGGGTCACCGTGAGTCTGAGCTGGGTAGCGAGACCCTGTATCAAATAAATAAATAAAATAAAAATAAAATCCGATCTCAAAATAAAAGAATAGGTGGTCAGGGACACAGCTCAGTGGCACAGTGCCTGCCTGGCTAAGTCCTGAGTTTGATTCCCAGGCCCCTCCCCAAGTTCAGCGCGGTCCCGACCTGCAATCCTAGCACTTGGGAGGCTGAGGCAGGAAGATCACTGCAAGTGCAAGGTCACCCTGAACAAAAGAGCAAAGACTGTCTCCCAAACAAATTTTTTTTTAAAATTTTTTTTATTTGTGTGTGTGTGTGTGTGTGTGTGTGTGTGGCCAGCTCCGCCCACCAGGGGGCGGGCTGGCTGGCATGTGGTGCTGGAGGATTGAACCGCGGTCCCTGTGCTTTGCTAAGCTTGTTCTAAGAAGGTGTTTTAGACCACTGAGCCATCTCACCAGCCCCCCCCCCCCAAACAAATTTTAAAAGGACCCGGAGATAGCCTAGCTCCGGCAGGCAGGCGCGGGAGGGCAGGGCCCTGCGTGCCGGGGCGCAGCAGGTACACACAGCGATCACGATGTCCCGCATGTGTGGGAACTCCTCCGGGTGCAGGAAGGCCGTCAGCTCCTCCCTCGTGGCCATGGAGTCCCCGTCCTGGTCAGCCACCCGGAAGCGCCGCTCGTCCCGGGCCAGCATCTTCTTGTAGGCCTCCGCGTCCTCCACATCGTGGAATTCCTCCCCTGGGAGGGTGAAATGAGGGAGGGCCTCAGGGAGGGAAGGTCAGGCGCAGAGGCAAAGACGACCAGGCGGGGCTAGCACAAGTCCAAAGAGTGCAGAAGAGGGGCCGGGGAGATGGCTCAGTGGAATAAAAGCTTCCCTGGCAAGCGCAAGGGCCGGAGTTCCGCCAAAAAAAAAGAGTTCAGAAGCATTAATGTATACCAGTGACTTCCATGTCATTTACACAGCCAGGTGTGCTGGCACAAGCAAGTCTGTGTGCCACCTGTAATCCCAGCACTTGGGAAGCTGAGGCAGGAGGATCGCTGAGAGTCCCAGGACAGCCTGGGCTACACAGTGAGCTCAAGGCCAGCCTGAACTACATAGCAAAACTCTGTCTCACAAAACCAATTTGTTAAAAAATAATAATACTAATAAAAACAACGTGTAGTGCCGGCCAGACTAAAGCACCAGCTTTGGCAGAGCACAGTGGCCGGCGGGGTTCGCCCCCAGGGCGTGTTATGACATTGATTGAGACCAGCCTGGTGGCGTGCTGTAATTCCAGCGCTTGGGGATTGAAAACAGGAGAATCACTACGAGTCTGATCTACGTAGTGAGAACCTGTACACCCTGTCCTAAATTCATTTTTAAAAAGTGCAAATTTTACTACCTTAGTTTTTAATATAGAATTAATTATATATTATTAGCTACCTTCTAACAGTACCGGGACTTGAGCCCAGAGTCTTTGCACTGAGCTACATCCCCAGCCAGTTTTTTTTGTTGTTGTTGTTTGTTTTGTTTTTTCCCAGTTTTTTGTTTGTTGGTTGGGTTTTGCATTTTTTTTTTGTTTTTGTTTGTTTGTTTGTTTGTTTTTGGTGGAACCAGGGATTGAGGCCCTTGCACTTGCCAGGGAAGCGCTTATTCTACTGAGCCACCTCCCTGGCTCCCTGGTTGGTTTGTTTTTTGATGTGGGTTCTTTCCAATTCAAGTTGTTCCTTTTTTTTTTTTTGTATTTTAGGGAAGGGTCTACAGGGTGTTCAGAGTCTCACTACTAGATCAGACTCGTAGTGACTCACCTGTTTACAGCCTCCCAAGAGCGGGGATTACAGACCTGGGCCACCATGCCCAGTCTCAATTCCTGTCTCAGTGCGCCCTGGGGGCGGGGCCAGCGTGGCAGGCCCCCCAGGGAATCTAACACCCCCATCCTCCCCCTGCTTGCAGGCGCTTTTTTTTCTCTCTCTCTCTTTTTGAGACAGGGTCTCACTACTCAGTTCAAGCTAACTTTAAGCTCACTTTGTAGCCCAAGCTGGTCTGCTCTGGTGAACTCAACATGATCCTCCTGCTTCAGCCTCTGGAGTGCTGGGGTTGTAGGTATGCACCACAGAACAGATCTCGGCCAGTTTTTATTTTGAGACAGGGTTTTGCTAAATTAATGAGTTGACCAAGCTGGGCTCAAACTTGTAGCCTGCCCTGGCTTCGAGCAATGTTGGGGTTGCAGGTGTGCACCACCATGCCTGCCTGGGCTGCTAATTTATAGCAGGAACTTAATATGTTCTAAGATTGTTAGGTACCATAATGCATTTCATCCTCACAAAAAGCAAGAAAATTGGTTTTTTAAATTTTATTTCCTGAATAAAAAAGTGACTCCAGTCAAAGGAAGTAACAAGGACTTGGGTCAGGCACTGGCCAGTTTGACCCCAAAATGCCTGATGCAGGAAGCTATCCGGACTCAACTTCCTCCAAAGGGAGGGAAGGGCCTCTATGCAGGACGCTGGGGAGATGGTGAGGTCCGCGTGGAGAGGACGGGCAGCCCTGAGCAGGATCCCGACATCAGCTCTGGGGGTGCAGATATCCCGAGCAGCCTGGGGAGCTGCCGATGGGAAGGCTGGGTGTAGGACCAGCAGGGGCTAGGGCCAGGCACTGGGTCAGGAGAAAATTGGGAGTCAGAGCTCAGGGCAAATGGCTTTGGGCTTCTCAGGGTGAGAGGTTAAAGGTCAGGGGTTATGAGACAGGATGTGAAAGGCAGGGGTTCCAGTAAGGAATCTGAAGTCCCCAGTCATCAGCCCACAGAGGTTAGGTTTTCAGAATGAAAAGCACTCCATCAGAAACTGGGGGTCTCCTAAACCAGACGAGGTGATGCACTCCTGTAATCTGAGCACTGCCGGGGGCTGAAGCAGGAGGATATCCACAAGGCGAGGCGAGGCCCTCCTCGACTACAAAGCGAGACTGTTTCCACCCTCCATCCCAAAAGGGACCTCTGAGCGAAGAGGTGCATAAGGCATGCGGGGACACAGGCAGGGGTTCTGGATCAAAGGGCTAAGGGTCCTCTGGAGAAAGGGGTCAGAAGGCCAGGGTCGCGTTGTGTCTCAGGGAGCAGAGTCGGGTCCCACGCATACCGGGAGCATAGTGACCGTAGGTGGCGTTGCGCAGCTCCTCCCAACCCACGCGCCCATCGCGGTCCGTGTCGTACGTGTCCCAGGCCGCGCTCACCGAGTCCCGTATGTGGCGCTGCTGCGTGTGCGCGATCCACGAGCGAAGCTCGGCCAGCGACACCAAGCCATCCCCATCGCCAGCCCGGTCCATGCGGTCCACAATTCTCCTGCATTGGGGCGGGGCAACATCAGTCTTGGGCCACGCCCACACCTGGATCCACTCTCCCAGGCCCCGCCCTGACCAGAAGCCACGCCCCTACCCAAGATTTGGTTCCATTAGAGCAGTAAATGGGGTGCTCTAATTCGATGGAGTGGCACAGGCCTGTTAATCCAGCACTCTAGGAGGCTGAGGAAGGAGGTTGGCAAGTTCAAACTCAGCCAGGACAATTTAGAGATTCAGCCAGGTCCTTTGGAGCATGAAGCAGACCCGTGTTGTTGAAATAACGAAAAGGGGGGCCAGGGAGATAGCTCAGTAGAATAAGCGCTTGCCTGGCAAGCGTAAGGGCCTGAATTCAATCCCCAGTTCTTAAAAAAAAAAAAAAAAAAAAAAGGCTGGGTGGTTGGTGGTAAGACGCCCATAGTTTTGATCTCTAGTATTGCAATAAATAAAAAAATAGCTTGGGCCGGGCATATTGGCTCACACCTGTAATACCAGCACTTGGGAGGCTGAGGCAGGAGGATCTCTGCTGATTTAAGGCCAGCCTGGACTACATAGTGAGAATCATGTCTCAAAAGAAAAAGAAAGGGGCTGGTGAGATGGCTCAGTGGTCTAAAGCACCTGCTTGGAATAAGTTAAGCTATGCAAAGCACAGGGACCGCGGTTCAATCCACAGCACCACATGCCAGCCAGCCCCGCCCCCTGGTGGGCTGAGCTGGCCACACACATACACACACTCACAAAATAAATAAATAAATGTTAAAAAAAATTAGAATTAAAAAAAAAAAAGAAAAAGAAAAACAACAACAACCAATAAAACTGGTTAGGCAAGCTCATTGTGAACCTGCTGGGTTCAATCCCTAGAAACAAAGGAAAAAGAAAAAAAAGCAGTCCTAGAGTTTGGGCAAAGGCCGTACATGTCAATATCAGGACCGCGCCTACCGAAGAGCCCCGCCCCTAAACTAGACCAGTTCTCTAGTCGGGACTGCACGCCTGGAACAAACCCGGGCCATGCCTTCCACTCCCACCCTCCGCCCCCGCACGTGCACGGGCGCGGATACCCCGCAGGGAGTTGGGCTGGGAGAGGCGCAGGATTCCAGGAGGGCTGAGGCCCCGCCCCACCGATTCCGCCCCGCCCCTTCTCCGCGAGGGGCCAGCTCGGGCGCTCAACTGCAGCTCGGCCCACAGCTGAGCTCTGCCCAGTGGCGGAGCTCCACTCCCTCCTCCCTGCCGTGCCCGCCACGCATCCTCCAGGGTCCCTCTCTCCTGGCCAGGGTCCGAAACCTTGACCTACCGCTGACAAAGACAGGGCACGAGCCCCGTCGTCATCCCTCGCGCCTGGGGCCCAGTCCCAAGTCCCACTCGGTCCCTGTGAGCCCCTAACTTAACCCTTTTGTGAAATGGGGCTAAAGGCGCCAGGAGACAGCTCAGTAGCACAGCGCCTGCCTGGCGAGCACAAGATCCAGAGTTCAATTCCCGGTACCAAATAAAGAACTGTACTTGGACCACAGGGACTTTGAGGACTGAACGTTAAGCTATAAAGTGTCTAAGCTAGTGCCGTGCAAAGCCTGGCCTGGCTCTCTTCCCAGAGAAGCTAGAACCCTCCCAGGAACCAAAGGCCCCTCGAGAGACGACAGACCAGATACTCGCTCCCACCTCCCCGCTCTGCACCCCGGTTTCAGCTGCAAGGGTTTCATGAGCCTTAGGCACAGCAGCCGCGCTTTCACCTCAGGGCCTTTGTACTTATTACTATTGTTTCTCTCACTACCTACGAACCTCTTGAAGGCAACAAGTTTTGTCAGATTTGTTTCCTGCTTTGACTTCACACTGTGGAGCAGTGTCTGCACATAGCAGGTGCTCAGTAAACACTGACAGGATGAGTGGGCATCACTGGGATGCTCTGGGGCCGGTAGGCTGGTGGTGGCCAGACCCCATTCAATGTAGCTCATCCTGCAATTCAAAGCTCAGCATTTCCCTGGCGGGACTGGGTTCCTTCCCCACAGAATCTTTTTCACCCATCACCCCTGCCAAGGAGTCCGAAAACACATTTACAGAGCAGGCAACTAAGGCTAGAGGAAAGATGTCTGGGATAACAGAACTGAGTGACCTGGAATAGGATCTGGACCTAGCGTTTGCAGCCGTCCAACCTCAATTCTTTTTTGTTTTTCTGAGACAGGGTCTCACTATGTGGCCCCGGCTGGCCTGGGACTCGTACCAACACTACTACTTCCTTAGTCTCAGCACTCAGGGCCACCACGCAGGACTCCCTTACCCGAGGCGGGCCTGGCTTTCCTCAGGGGTGAGCTGGTCGAATTCCTTGGCCACTTCCCGTCCTAGGAAGGCCTCGTGGTCGTACTGGAAATTCCCGTGGGCGTCGTCGTGAGGGGCATCGCTCAAGGGCGTTGCCTGGTGTACCCTGGCCTGGCCATGAGGACCCACATCTGGGGATGGCTTTCCTTGGGCCCCGCGCCGCAGCAGCAGCCCCAGTAGCAGCAGCAGCAGCAGCGGCAGAAACAGCAGCTGGAGTGATGGACGACACATCGTAGGTCCCTGGAGAGCAGTGGGTCAGAGGTCAGGGGTCACGAGGAAGAGGGCAGGAATGGATAGGAAAGGGGGTGGCCGGAGTTACCTAGGACAAGACTGCAAGACTAGATGAGCGGTGCTTGCAGAAAAGTTTCAGGTTGAATGCGGGCGGCAATGGGGAGAAGGACAGGGTGCCCAGAGAGGGCCCTGATCATCCGAGTCCTCAGGGGTCAAAGCACAGAGGTGATCCCAGGGGAGATGTGGCACGAGTCCCACGCAAAGCCAGGGAACTGATAGCCAGCGAGGTACAACAAAACCTCAGGTCGCTCCCTGCCCCGCCCGACCCTGATCCTGTGGTCGAGCTGCCTCCCTGGTCCTCCCCTCCCATACACATACCCCGTTATCCTGTTATCCAGTTTCTTTCTGCTCTCCACGTTTGGTTTCAAGTTCTCCCAAAAATGCCCAATTTGGCAGCCAGCCAGCCAGGCCCCGCCCCGGCTACGCAAAGGCCACGCCCAACAACCAATGAATGCGCAGGAGGAGCCAAGAGGCGGGGCCAACGAACAGCGGTGCAGAGGGACCTCCGCGCCACGTCCACAAAGAAGTTCGGGTGGGCGACGGTGGAGTGACGCGGCCTAGGAGAACCACAACTCCCGGCAGGCATCGAGGCGCCCTGCCCGACCACCCCTAGCGGTCCTCGAGACAAAGGCTCATGGGAGATGTATTTTTCTCCGGTTCCCTTTGTGGGGATGGCTTAAGGACCAGAACTAGAGGGCTGTGTAAATCCTTCCCTCCGAGAGGGAACAGCTCCTCTCTTCTGCTCCATCAAGGATTCAGAATATATTCCAGCCTAGCGTTCCATAGAATACCAGGCACAGCATTCTGTTTAATTTGTGAAAGTCATGAATGAAAAATAGATGAGTCAGTATAAAAAATTGGCAGATGCTACAGCTGGGTGTGATGGCCCACACCTGTAATCCTAGCACTCAGGAGGCTGAGGCAGGACTGCCATGATTTGGAGGCCAGCCTGGGTTACACAGTGAGTTCGAGGCTAGCATGGACCCCACAGTGAAACCCTGTCTCAAGAAAAACAAGAGAAAAAAAAAACCAAACAAACACCTCAGCCAAGTCTCTCATAGCCGCTTGTTAGGCACGACCTGAATCAGCCCAGGACTTGCACCCCAGACCCTCCACCCATTCATTACCTCCCTGGCCTGCAGACTGGAAAGGACTGAAAACACACGGATTAGGGCCCAAACTCGTGTTTATATGTGAGGTGGAAAGGGGCTGGAGATGTCGGGAAGGGGCACTGAGGCAGAGCCCGGGGGGGAGGACTCTGAGGGGACCCGGGGCCCAGCACTTGTTCGGGAGGCTCAGAGATCCAGGATTCCAGGGGTCTCACAGCAGAGACGCGAGCACTCTGGCCACGGCAGCCACGCCGGGCCGTCAGGCAGTGCCTTTGGCGTCTGCAGCGTCGGGCTCCTGGGACAGCCCGGGGCCAGGCAGCAGGGCCCCGGCGTCGTCCCCGCGGAGGGAGATCCAGGGTGCTGTGGGAAGAAGGCCGCGAGCACTGGGACTGTGGCAGCTGCATGCGCATCCACGACCGCCTGCCTGTGAGCTCCGGCCCACCTCCCCGGGTCCCTCTCTCCAGGCTCTAGCAGGAGCTCCAGGTCCCCTCTGTCCCCTCCGGCCCAGGGCCTCACCTGGCATCCCGCTCCGCATCCTTCGCCACAGTAGAGCTCCTCCCGCGGCGGCAATAAGCAGCAGAAAGCCCAGAACTAGTACGATCCCCACCGCGGGTACCGAGGACTCGGCTGGTGACTCTGTGGCCAGAGAGCACCCGGGATGTGTTCAGCCCTCCACCCACCCTGGAGACCAGGAAGTTGGGGTACTGGTTCCCACCCAACCTCTGAGATGCTCAGGTGCCACCCTGGGCCGGAGCAGAATGTCCCTAGGTTGGATGTTGAGAACCAGCCATGGCACCCGGCCGTGGAGGTGCACACCTATCATCCTAACACTCGGGAGGCTGAGGCAGGAGAATGGCCATGGGTTTGAGGCCACCCTGAACTGTACAGTAAGTCTCCAAACATGAGAGCAGAACCAGCCAAAGCCAGAAGAGGTCCTGCAGGGACCTGCAGTAGCAGGTGGAGCCTTCCAGCTCGTGGAGGAGGCAGGCATAGGGGCTGGAATGGCAAGGGGGGGTGATCAGTCTTGGTGGGGGCTGGCTGGGGCGGAAAACAGACTCCCGGAGGGAGGGGTGGGGTGGGGGAGGAGGAACAGGACACCGGTGGGACCAGCAGGCGCCACCTCCCTGTGGGCAGGCGCAGCAGGACAGAAGCAGCCAGGCTGTGGGTCATCTAACAGGCACAGACAAGGCCACTCTGGGGCGGGGTTGCTGCGCAGCGGACAGGGCCCCCGAGGGACTTGGACGTCCCCCTGGCTCACCCAGCTCCACAGAGAGCGGCTGCCGCAGCCCTGCGTGCTCCACCAGACAGCGGTAGTGGTGCTCGTCGCCGTGCTGCACCGTAAGCGATGACCACGCGTGGAAGGAGCCGTCCCCGTTAGGGCCGAAGCCGCCCTCCCCGGCGCCGGCTGCCAGCCCGTTGCGGACGAAGTGCAGCCGCAGCTCCGGGGGGTAGAAGGAAAAGGCGCTGCAGGTGAGCACGGAGAAGCCAGCATCGCCCGGCCTGGCCCTCAGGCGCACGGAGGGTGGCTCTGCGAGGACAGGGCGGAAGCTGAACCCAGGGCGGGCCCGGCACCACGTGCCACCATCCTGTGCCCTGACCTGCGCGGATCCCAGAGAACGTAGTGTCGAAAGGGGGAGGGCCAGGCGCAGAGGCTCACGCCCGTCATCCCAGCGTGCTGGGAGGCTGAGGTAAGAGGATTCCCAGTCCAAAGCCAGCCAGGAGCATACACTGACTTCAAGGCTAGCCTGAAACATAGCCAGACCCTATGTCAACACCCCCACAAATAAATAAATAGCAAGCCAGGTGTGATAACACTGGACTGCAATCCTAGGTACTGAGGAGGCTGAGGCAG